AAAAGCTGGAGTAGATTATCAGCTTGATTTGAATAAGTTAAAACTATAAATAATTAACAAGTACTGTAATACAGACGCTGGAAATAGCTTCAGTAGTAAAGGCGAACCTGAAAATATAAAAAAAAAAAGGGGAATATGAAAACGTGGTGATGAATTAAATATACGTAGAGACAAATTTCCCTCATGGCAAAAATAATAGTCTTACCTTGCACCAATCTCCTCTGGTTGCAACATGCTGTGTTGGCTGAATCATCCTCCTTATCCTTTTTCACTGCCATTAAATATACCATATTAGAACGATTTTCTCTCTTTCATTTGTTTAAATTTTTTAAGAGAATATCATATTTTTTGGACTTACATTAAAATACGAACGAAGTTATTGGAGGCTGAAGATTCTGGAATGAAGCATCACGGCCACCGTAAATACACAGATGAGCTCATAAGACAGGACTCTGGTAATTCACAAAGGATATAGAGGATTACTGTATTTTCTTGCCTGAGCTCTTGGTTTTACTTGGGCTTCCCGCGAGTTTCTTCTGAACCAAAATAAAAAAAAGTTGTGAAGGTTTTTCAGCTTCTCAGATTTGTAATAAATTGGGGAAATTTTTGACGGGTTTACCTTAATGATTTAAAACTAATTTGGTTCTTATTTAATGCTTCATTTAGGACGATTTTTTTTTATATTTTTTTAGTACCCAAAAAGTGTGCTTTAGAAGTGGCAAGGAAAGCCGAACCGACCGAAGCCTTAAAGTTGTTAAAAAATCAGAGCATGGATTTATATAGTCGAAAAATATTTTGATCATTGTCAAGAAAAATAGAGATGCATTGAATATGAAATTATTTTATTTTTATTTTTAAAATGATTGTAATAATAACTAATATTTCTATAATTATATAAATTTACATTATATTTTCATAATAAATTTGATGAATATAAAGCTTTTCAATTTGACTTTGAACCCATTTTTGTCAATAGTTAGTTTTTTAAGGCACCCGTTTTTCACACAAGCAACTATCAAGTGAAAGTGACAACCAAAAAGGAACTTGAAGAGAGGAAGATTGCATGAAATTTCCATGTTTTCATTTGACACAAAAGTCTCTATTAATGATCAGAACCTTTTTTTTAATATAAAAAGTTAAAAATAAAAAAAAAATCATATCTTTCAAACTTATGCATTTTTAAAATATAATCACTGCTAATTAATATAATTTATTCATAATGTTTTTTTAAGTTTACTAATGGCTCTCAATCTATAGTTTAAGTAACTCATTAAGATTAATTATATTTAACAATGGATCACATAAGGCAACATTATCAATTAATGCTATCGGTTGATTTTACGCAAATTTCTCGCCAAATAACGTGCAGAGTATGTAAATCTAAGATTGCGTCTGAAAATATAATAATAAAAAGTTGTTTCAAATAGAATCTTAATGAGAGAAAATTCCATATGATGATATGTTGATATTAACATACAAAATAATACATCATAAACATAAATAGAAAAGATAACATAAAAAAATAGATAGTTTACCATAAAAAAGTAATTATAAGTATGTATTTTGAGAATATAAACTTTATTCATAAGTAATGCATTTATACATATTTGTTATATTCTATATCAAAATCACATTCACCTATCATCATTATCATAAATCATCGTTATCATCCTCATCCTTCCTCTTGAGGGTCGGCTAAAAATATCGAAATTTAAAGCTAAAATAGATGCAGCATTTTGCTAAGAAGAGTAAAAGAAATTAAAAATTATTTTTCTGGTCTATAGTTCTCTAAACTTGCCCATACTGAAGTAATAAGTGCTCAATTAAATCAATCACCTTTCCAAACGACATTGCACTTACTATTCCAATATAAATTATTTTGATGGAGAAAATAAAAACATTCCAAACAAACGAAAAAAGGAAAATCAATTACATAAGGCAAAAATATTTGGTATCGAAGCGGCCTTCAACCTCCCGTTTTCTCAAGTACCAGAGAAATCTGAATGAGATGAATCCTTTCCACCTCCTAAAAACCAAAACAAAAAAAAAACGCTCAGAAAATACTTTTTTACTTAACTCTTATAAGATACTAGTTAAATAAGAAATATAGTAGATGAAGCAAACCACTGCCAGGATATTTCAATGAAGAGACAGAAGCCAAAATGGAAAAAAAAAAAAGACAATAAAAATAAAAATCATTTCCCAAACCCTACAGATTCAAATAGAATGGGAAGCAAAGCAAAGCAAAAAAAAAACAATAAATATCTTATTCATAACATTTTACAAAACCAGATAATGGGGTTGAAACAGAGTAAGTTACCGGTTTGAGCGTAGGCGGAATATGAGCTTGCAGTATATCAGACTTTGCTTCTAGAGCTGCTTTCTTTTCTTCTTGGGAAACAGTCAATCAACCAAAATGATTTCTTCCTCCTCACATATAACTCCTGCTTCCTCTCTCGTAGTTTCTTTCTCTAATTTCTGGTTCTCTCTTTTCTATATATATATATATATATATCCAGACGGATCGTCCCGGACGATCGCAACTTCGTCCCGGGACGATTTGGGCTCTGGACGAATTTCGTCCTGACGAAATTAAATAGCTCCCGGGACGATTTGGGCTCTGGACGAATTTCGTCCAGACGATCCAGGTTTTTTCCTGGGACGAACCATTCAGCCAGAAATTTTCTTCACAACCTGTACCGATCGTCCCGGACGAACCTGGGAGGAAAAATGGTCTTTACAAAAAGAAGCTAAGTTTGTAAAGATGACCACATTATTCTACCATTTTGGAGGTGAGTAAAGCATGAGATTCATGCGGCGGGTGGGGCAACAGATAAAAAATGGAGTTTTGGACTAAGAAATATTGGTATGCAGCTCATCTTGATATGTTGGTTGCGAGCAAAGCTATCAACTAAGATGTCTTGAATTCGAGTACTCATGCATATGTGATGTGTGTATGAATTTATTTTAATTGGCCTAAAATATCCCCTGGCCTAGAAAAGACTAAGAATTGATCCTCTTCTTTGCAATTAGGTGGCTGCATTTAATAGGTTCTTTGTATTTGAGAGAAGAATATTGTTGCTAGCATTTTACGTCTGGGAAGAGCAGTTAGCCTTTAAAAATTTCATTCAATGATCCTAACTTGGTTTGATCCAACTAAGCCCAAGTACCATCAGTTAAAAATAATCCAGTGTCCATTTAGGCTCCAATACATAGAAAGAGAATAAAATTGGGACTTACAAGGCTTAGGCGATTAATGCTTCATTTGGGACGGCTTTTTTACTATTTTCTAAAGCAGCTTTTAAATACAAAAATTTTTAATTTAATAAATTTTGTACTAAAAAGTTGCTTTAAAAAGCAATAAAAAAGCTATCCCAAACAAAACCTAAAATTGAATGAACCATAATGAAAGTGAGCTAGTGAATGGTTCGATGTAACATTAATTGATTGAATCTAGGCCTGATCAATGGCTTTATCAATCTATTTGATGGGTCAACGTACCGGGTTTCATCCTGAGATTGGGCTCACCCCATAACTAGAATGGCTTTCACAAGGTTACCCAAAACTGACGCTAATTAGAGTTGAATGGGTTAGATTAGAACAAACAAATATAGGCTCAATCCATTGGGCTGGGTCACTCAATTAAGAGAATGATTATTTACAAGGTCGACCTGACAATTTCCCTTAATTGAACAAGTGAGCTCAATTGGGGCTTGCTTAGTCTATTTTTGTGGCATGCGAGCCAAATTAGCTTGATTTGTGCCCAACTAGTTCTTTTGAGGCTAGACTAAGCTAAAGGATCAAATTGACTTAGTTATCGAGCATGAAAAATAAGAAGTTAAGTGGGTTAATTGATTTGATAAAACTTAATTAACACTAAACATATCTCAGTGTCAGTACAAAGCAATTATTCTGTGTGGACGTCAAACACCGAGGTACTGTTCGGTTCCGCTCGGTACCGCACTCGGTATTGCTGATGCAACTCATTTTGATTGATCTCCGGATGTAGAGCTACGTCCGACTTCGCACAGAATAATTTCTCGTCATTACAAATCGTTTTATTAGTCGAAGGGATATAATGCCAAATCAATTAAGACTGGAGCATGAGGTGCTATGACTATTAATTCGATTAATGTACTCTTACCGCACATAATCGATTAGGGAGTCCAGTGAATTAGTTGGCTTAGTACGTCGATGAGTTGGCGAGGGGCTGGCTTACCTTTGGGACATTTTAGTGGTCAACAATATAATATTTTCATGAGAACTTTTCTCCTCCAAAAAAGAGAAAGGGCTATTCAATTATCCAAATATTCTATTTTTATATCTATAAAATAATATTCAAAGCTTAATATCACACCATTGATTAGAATATATAGCTTAAAAAATATATATAAATCGAGTTTCATCAATTTTTATATGATTGTTTAACCTTTCATCAAGCATAGAAAAAATAAAAGGATAAACAGATGGCATAAAAATTAAAAATCTGCTTACCATTTATTTCATCATAAGCTGTCCATTAATACATGAAATAACATCAAGAAAATTTATATTTGATTCCAATTTACTTGAAAGAATATCCGCTTTAAAATCATAAATATCATATCATAAAATCAGAGCCATCAATTATAAAAAAACTTGATGTATCAAATTATAATTATCAAACTATCTTAGGAAAAAAACATTAAAAAAAATAATGCCACAGGATTTAATGATTTTAAATCTATAATCACAATTATTTAAGTATATATATAAAATGGGGAATCCACCCGCTACTACTCCTTAAAGGGAGTTTGACGGCGTGACTAATCCTCGGCTGATCTAGACGAGACACCCACCCCAGAAACCTCCTGGCCCACACTTGATTGAGCTCCAATTAATAGGCGCTGCAGCTCAAGAGGAATCGAGCACACGAGATGGGGGATTTCCAACCGTACTCGCCCACCAACCAAACAAAGCATTGGTGGGTTAAGTATATTTTTAAAGCTTAAGAAAAGAAATCTTATGCCAAATAATTACTATATTAATGGCAAACTCACAAACAAACAAACCCTTCCTTCTCCCTCCTTGTGTTTGAAGGAAAGGCATAAAAGACCAGTAAAGTTGGTTCCTAGCAAAGTTACAGCCTTAGAGGAGAATAGCAGCAAAGCTTTGTTAGAAGCCTCTGCTAATTTAAGCGATTACACATATATATATATATTTCCACAACCTAATTAATTTGAAGTAAAATCATCAAAGGAAAATTAACATTTGAAGGCAGCCATTGAGCAGCTTTGTTCACGAAGCAAGCACATGGAGGTCCTCTTATCAGTTTGGATTTTTAATGCGGACTTGTTATCTTATTTGCAGCAGTTACATAGGAACCTGTCAACAAAAACAAAAGAGTGGTCTCGCACTGAAAGCATCATAAAATATTCAAATTTAAAAGACGTAGAAGACTGTAGAAGTTGGAAAGTAAAGGTAAAAAATAGTCGGCAGTAATTAGTTAAAGGATGATTATGGCATGAAATTACAAAAAAGAATTTGAAAGATTGATTATATTGAAAGTAAATTAGAGCATTTCATGTTTGTTTATGTAAGATTTTCTTATGTTCAATTATTTATATAATGAAATTAAAATTTATTGTAGGGATTATCATATAAATGAATAATTTTGAATATTAATGTATTTATTTATTTATGTTCTTAAATAGTTTCATTTTTTGTTTAACAAATAGTCTGTTAATGATTCAGTAAAAAAAACTCATTTAATAATGATTAATTATTTATTTGCCGATTTATTATATATATATATATATATGTATGATTTTTTTTAAATATTGAAATGATAGTTTGTAAATTATATTAATATTGATTAAAATTTACTAATTCAAATATATTTAGTAATATGGCTATATGTTTGCATTATTAGCTTTAAATATATAATAAATTAAACAAGATTAAACTTTAAACTTATTAAGAAAAATATGTTTAAATAAAATTTTAAAATTCTGATAATGTTTTCAATAAAAAAAAATTAAATTCAACAAGAAAACAAATAAACTCACTCGACTTAAATAATTTTGTTTAGGACATTTAAGCCAATTAAACAAATTCGTAAACACATCACATATGTAAGACTCGAACTTGATAGCCAAATCTCCCAACCAACATACCAAGATAATTTATAAATATGTAGAAAAAAAAGCCAATAAAGCGAATGAGTTGCCAAAAAATAGCAACACTCAATAAAAAGGAATAGACAATCAGAATTTATGAAGTCAATCCTAAATATTTAAATAAAATTAATGAAACACTAAAAAAAAAAGCTGAGTAGATATCAGCTGATTTGAATAAGTTAAACTATAAATTAATTAACAAGTACCTGTAATACAGACGCTGGAAATAGCTTCAGTAGTAAAGCGAACCTGAAAAATAAAAAAAAGAATATGAAAACGAGGTGATGAATTAAATATACGTAAGAGACAAATTTCCCTCAGGCAAAATAATAGTCTTACCTTGCCACCAATCTCCTCTGGTTGCAACATCTGTGTTGGCTGAATCATCCTCCTTATCCTTTTTGCACTGCCATTAAATATATCCATATAGAACGATTTCTCTCTTTCATTTGTTAAATTTTTTAAGGAAATATCATATTTTTTGGACTTACATTAAAATACGACGAGGAGTTATTGGAGGCTGAAGATTCTGGAATGAAGTCGTCACGGCCACCGTAATACACAGATGAGCTCATAAGACAGGACTCTGGTAATTCACAAAGATATAGAGGATTACTGTATTTCTTGCCTGAGCTCTGGTTTTTACTTGGGCTTCCACGCGAGTTTCCTTCTGAACAAAATAAAAAAAAAAATTGTGAAGGTTTTCAGCTTTCAGCTTCTCAGATTTGTAATAAATTGGGGAAATTTTTGACGGTTTACCTTAATGATTTAAAACTAATTTGGTTCTTATTTAAGCTTCATTTAGGACGATTTTTTTACTGCTTTTTTTAGTACCAAAAAGTTGCTTTAAGAAGTGGCAAGAAAGCCGAACCGAACGAAGCCTTGAAGTGTCAAAAAATCAGAGCAATGATTTATATAGTCGAAAAATATTTTGATCATTCAAGAAAAAATATAGGATGCATGAATATGACAATTATTTTATTTTATTTTAAAATGATTGTAACAAATAACTAATGATTTCTATAATTATATTAAATTTACATTATATTTCTCATAAAATAAATTTGATGAATATAAAACTTATTCTAATTTGACTTTGAACCCATTTTTGTCAATAGTTAGTTTGTTAACGGCACCCGTTTTTCAACACAAGCAACATCAAGTGAAAAGTGACCAACCAAAAAGAACTTGAAGAGAGGAGATGCATGAAATTTCCATGTTTTCATTTGACAAAAGTCTCTATTAATGATCAAGACCTTTTTTTAATATAAAAAGTTAAAAATAAACAAAAATCATATCAAAACTTATGCATTTTTTAAATATAGTCACCACTAATTATATAGTTTATTCATAAATATATTTTTTTTTAAGTTTAATAATGGCTCTCAATCTATAGTTTACAGTAACTCATTAAGATTAATTACATTAAACAATGGCATCACATAAGTGCAAGCATTATCATTATGCTATCGGTTGATTTACCAAATTCTCCCAAATAACCTGCAGAGGTATGTAAATCTAAGATTGAGATCTGAAAAATAAAATAACAAAAAATTATCCTAAATAGCTTCTTAATGACGAATAATTCCATACGATGATATGTATGATATTACATACATGAATAATACATCATAAACATAAATAAGAAAGATAACATAAAAAATAGATAGTTTACCCATAAAAAAAGTAATTATAAGTATGTATTTTGAGAATATAACTTTATTCATTAAGTAATGCATTATTACATATTTGTTATATTTTATATCACAATCACCATCACCATCATCATTATCATCATCATCGTTATCATCCTCATCCTTCTCTTGAGGGGTCGGCTAAAATATCAGAAATTTAAAAGCTAAAATAGATGCAGCATTTTGCTAAGAAGAGTAAAAGAAATAAAAATTATTTTTTCTGGTCTATAACTCTCTAAACTTGGCCCATACTGAAGTAATAAGTGCTCAATTAAATCAATCACCTTCCAAACGACATTAGCAACTGTTCCAATATAAATTATTTGAAGGAGAAAATAAAAACATTCCAAACAAACGACAAAAGAAAATCAATTACATAAGGCAAAATATTTGGTATCGAAGCCTCACCTCCCTGTTTTCTCCAAGTACCAGAGAAATCTGAATGAGATGAATCCTTTCCTCCTCCCTAAAACCAAAAACAAAAAAAAAAAAGCTCAGAAATACTTATTTATTAACTTCTTATAAGATACTAGTAATAAAAATATAGTAGATTGAAGGCAAACACTGCAGGATATTTCATGAAGAACAAAAGCAAAATGGAAAAAAAAAGACAATTAAAATAAAAATCATTCCAAACCCTACAGATTCAAATAGAATGAAGCAAGCAAAGCAAAAAAAAAAAAAAAAATCTTATTCATAACTATTTTACAAAACAGAGTATGGGGTTGAAACAGAGTAAGTTACCGTTGAGCGTGGCGGAAATATGGAGCTGAGTATATCAGACTTTGCTTGCTGAGCTGATTCTCTTCTTGGGAACAGTTCATCAACAAATGATTTCTTCCCCTCCATAACTCCTCTCTCTCTCTCTCTCTTTTAGATATTACAGGGTGAAGAAGAAGAAGAAGCAGAATAAGAAGAAAAAGATGAGTTAGAAGTCGCTACTAGTGCTGCTTTGCCTCTTCATACCGAGCCATGAGCCCTCATTTAAAGCCTTCGTCGCCCTCACTTTCTCTCACCACCTCCTCCTCTCCTCTCTCTCTTCCCTCTATCTTTCTCTCTCCTCTGCTAGTACGCCACAGCTACGCTTAATCCGTTATCTAATTGGATTTCTTAAAATACAGTAAAAAATTCTAAAAGCAATCACTTCTTCATTTTTTACGACTATTCAGATCCTCTGTTCGCAACTTCGCATCTTTCCTCTCTTCTCATGTCCCCATCCATTCCTAGTCATTTTTTGTTTTCTTGTTTTTCACCCATTTTATTCTCATATATTCTAAGGTTTTTTCTTTTGTTATTTCCTTCCCGGTGAATAAGCGCCATGTGTGCCTAAGGATAGCAGAGTCCCTTAGCTTATCACGCGTGTACTACAAGATAAAAAACGCCCTTCACCTTCCCTTTCTCCTCACAAAAAAATATATAAACCTACCACCCAGAATGTTCAATAATTTCGCAAGTGTGAATGCCATTTGATGATTCATATTACTTTGTTAATTCTTCTGTCAAGGGAAGATCGATTAAGTCAAAGTATGCGTAGATTCAGTTGGCATGTCGCATAGGGCTCCTCAAGTGGAAGGTGACCAAAGAGAGTTTAAAGCTTCTAAGCCTATCTCCTCTACTGCATTAATTTATTTACGGAGGTTTGATACTGTTTGTCTCTTGTAATTAGAGTGCTTAGATGGATTTGGTCTACTAGATACAGCTTGTTCAGTCTATATTCTAGGAAAATTTATTCTGTGCGGACGTCAAACGCTGTCCGGAGATTAATCAGACTGCACCACGTCACCTTTTGCTGTATACCGCGGCTCGATACCGTTGACATGACTACACCCGATATGCCTTCAGATTTAGAGTTATGTTCGACTTCCGCACATAAGAATTTCTCATATTCTAGTGCTACTTCTATTAAAGAGTCATTTAACTCTCTTTTTCTCTCTACATATGAAGAGATGTAGAAGCTTCATTATGCCGTTTATCTTTTATTTTTTTAATTTATTTTCATGATTTATTTCAGATTTTTTGGTTAGTTTATATTACATCAAATTCAAATTTTAACATTTTGTGGAAGTGAAAAGAGTTAGTTCGTACACCAACAGAGGTATAATTGCAAACTTTAGTATTTTCAGTTATATTTACATTTCTAAAGATCAAATATTAAGTATAAGTTACATATATTTTTTAAATTTAATTTATATATGATTGACGATAATAAATTCTGCCAATTTTTTATTAAAAAAAAATTAGGCGAATTCCGTAATAATCCAATTAATTGTCAAAAAGTACAATTCTGTTCTTATAAGTTTAATATTTAATAAGTGGGCCATTGGCCCATAATGAAGTTAAATTAGAATTTGTTAGGGAGAGCCCGCCACAGTTACTAATTTATAAGAAAATAATATATAAATATATATAGTGCAAAAATAATTTATTTTTCACATAATCGCTTTTAACAATCTTGTTGTTAGTGTTAGAAAAGTTCAACATAATTGAATGAATTCTTCTCACCACTGCACAGTTCCTCCCCTGGTGTGGATGACGACTACCTTCATGAATGCTATGACATTATAAATGCGAAGATGTCTATATGTCGTAAAGTAATGTTAGATAGCGAACACGGTGATGACAAGTTCATGAGTGCTACAAGATTACGGGGTGTTCAATTTGAAATTTATTCGAATAAAATGAATTATTTTTTATATTAGAAACACCTTAGAAAATGTCTTGAATATGTTTCACTTTTGATTAAACACTCAAAGTTTTATTTTAGTATCAATATTAAAAAATCTATGCTTTTGAAATGCATTATACTTAAAATAAAT